TCAACCAACATACAAAAACACTAAAGTTTTCCGAATAATTAAAAAGATGATGATACAAGCTGGTGACTATGAACAAAACACTGGCGAGGGAGGTCAACAATTGTTTGACTATGACATTTCATCGGAATACTACAACCATCCTTGTGACACCTCTTACTTGATGTGTGTTGAACGAGAGTCTTCTCGCAAAAACGCATCTCAGTTCCTTTTTACAACCACAAACTTATCCTACATGAAAGATAAATTCATTGTCATTGGACAAGTCACTAAAGGAAACTCCATCCTTAATAGAATTGAGAGAGTGTACCGACTGTTGAAACCACAGGACAACCCACCTTGGATGTTGTGTTCACTGATTGCGGGGTTTTGGAGGAAGGATGTGATGATGGAGTTCTCGATAAGACATGCGTGGAAGAAGGAGATGTTTACCCTCAATATCCTGCAGATGAAGAAGAAAGCGATTCTCTCTATAAAAAGCTGGAGATTGCTGAAAAATTGAAAGAATTGGGAAATCACTTTTTCAAACAAAACGATCTTCAAAAAGCAGTAGAAAAGTATGAAAAGCGTTCAGATATCTGGCACCTGGCCTCAGGGATGACAGTGAGCGTAACTTTTAGAGGAAAAGGAATTAATCTTATTAGGCAACATTGCAGCAGTCAAGATCAAGCAAGCAGAGCATGCTGCGGTTATTGAACTATGTTGCAAAATTCTTCAGCTTGTAGAATATCATAAGGACATGGAAGGCATTCAGGTATTGAGACTAAGGCCAAGTTCAGACGAGGTGTTTCATATTTCAACAGAGGTGACTGGCTTAATAGTTATGTGGACTTGTCAGATTTGAAAGAAAAAAATCCAAATAACAAGGAAATTGAATCATGGCTTTACAAAGCAAAAGTTGAGCTTGAAAGGTACGAGAAAAAAGAAAAACATACCTATTCCAAGCTATTCCAAGATGATTAGTCATTGGCGCTATATGAACTATCAGTCTCAATATCATCATAAAGAGATGACTCTGTCGTTTCACCATCCTGCCCAGTGTTGTATCCAGTGTTTTGTAATTGTCCTGTGCTGTGTGTTCTTCGTCCAATGACTCTACTACTTGTCTGAGCTCCAATGATCAGTGGAGCATTTGTATCAAATCCGTGATCACTGGCATTGAAATTGGTATTTGTGGCTTCAGATTCTTGACTCTCTTCATGTTGATGTCGCCTCAAATTAATATTCACAGCATTTCTACTAAATGTCCATTTGCTGAAAAAAATTAAAATACTTAGAATTGGCATAACCTCCCAAAAGAAATTGGTAACAATAATGAAAATTCGACCATAATCAGTTGACCTCAAAATTGAATTTTCAAATAGTCCTTTGGAAAATTTGGGATTAAAATTAAGCAATCAAAAATTGCTCTACTTGTGAAAACAAAACAGTTCACAATAATGACTACTATCATTCCAGGCCCTGTGATTCGACTAACCTTCAAGCTTACAGGTATGTCATTTCGTCTTCTAAAAATATATACCATTCGGAGTCCAATTGCCAACAGCATTACCATTAATACAGTAAACGAACATGCGCTTGCCAATCCAATCACTGAATTTGTTTGTTCACTATCAAATGCAGTGGTGCATGAGGCTATGGAAAAAGAAAAGATAATAGAAAAAAATCCCAAGTTTGTCAAAACCCACAAGATCATGTACAAAACCTTTCTAGTGCATAAAAATTTGATGAATCTGTTATAAAAATTATTGGTTTGGGCATGGTAATATGAAATTTTCGATTGTTCTTCATAAGCATCTTCAATATTTTGGCTTACAAACGAAGTATCTGTTTTCGTATCGTCGTCTTGATCGTCATTGTTGAGAGATCCAATTGCTCCATTGGAAACAGCTCCATAGTTATCACTAAAAGTAGAAGAGGGTGGTCGGTAAGATCGTCGTCGATTGGAAGGAGCATAGTTTTGCACGCCAGAGCCTGATAAAATTCCTGTAGCTGGAGAAGGAGATGATGGAGTTGGAGTGTGGGCCTGTAACGGTTCATCTACTGTCTGCAATAAGGATTTTTCCCATTTTCCTCCGTAATTCAGTAGTTTGAAGAAAAATACTCCCAGCAATGTGAACACTGCAAATTCCACACAAATTGGTAAATAGTACAAAAAGAACACGCCACAATTATCAATGACAGAAAAGTAATAAACGGTCCTCAAAATCATCCATATACAACATAGCACTAGAAAGCCAAAATGGAATGAAGGAACTCGATGTTTGTGGTAAAATGTTAGTCCTATTTGAAGTAAAATATAAAGGCAAACTAGCGAAGTCATAATTCCTAGAACTATACGATCATAGGTATAGCCCAAATCCTCTTGCGGCTCTTCTTTAATTGCGGAATGGCTAAACGGAGAACCATGGCAAGTGTTTTGAAAAAGGAATAATTGCAGCAAACCGAGTGTTATGCTGATGATAGAACGGTGATTC